TGAAGTCTTTTTAGATAGTCATTGCCATCATGTTCAGTTCTGGTTGAAGCTGGGTAGGAAGGGATGCGATATAAGTGTTCTTCAGGTTAGGGTCTGATTTTTTTGGACCTCTTTTCTACATAGTATACTTGACAGGCCCAATTGGATTGAGTTGGTTCGATCAGACCTTGTTTCAACAGTTCTTGACATTCTTGTTGTAGACCCCAAATCTTGCCTGACCTCAAAATAAAGAGCAGAAGACTTCCGATCTGAAGATAGACAAAGCCTAAAAGGTCCCTAGCTATATTAGAGTAGGAAGGTTTTTTTTTTTACGGGAAAAATAAGAAATTTCACCTAGAAGGCCGAGACCGTCATCTCGTTTGGCGAGACGACCTTCTCGCCATTTGCCGAGGGCGAGACCGCCGTCCCGTTTGGTGAGACGGCGGTCCCGACCTGACAGACACGAATTCCTATAAAAGGGAGGGGGCGACCTCATCTTTTTCACATCATTCTTCTACTTTCCCTTATGCAACTTTCTCAAATTCTTCTCCTAGTAGTGGCGGATCTTGACCATTCATCTTGAAGGGGCCAAATAATATATTATTAATAAATAAATATAAAATGAAGTAAGAAGATGAAAGAGTGAAATGATAAAATTGTAAATATATACCTAAATATATTAAATGATCATTAAGTTTGAGGGAGACAAAATCATAAATTATATGAGAGTTATAAAGCTGAGGAGGGGTCGGGAGGATAAAATTGTAAATATACAAGTAAATATATTAAATGTTCATTAAGTTTGGGGGGCCAAAATCATAAATTACATGGAAGTTACAAAACTTTGGGGGGGTCACGGCTCCCCTCAGCTCCCAAGAAGATCTGTCACTATCTCCTAGGATCCCTCCGAAACATTTCCAGAGTTTCTTAGTATTCTTAGTGAGTGTTTTCTAGTGTTGCGAGAAAGAACGATCAATATTGTAGAGCGTGGAGGTTGCCAAAAAGTGCCTTTCTTTACCAAGAATATTAATACAAAAGTTTGCTCCGAAGGTTCCCACACTTTCTATCTTCTTTTATCGCTTTTTTATTACATCTATTTGTGCATTAGCTGTTAGGGGCCATGTAGTCAACATTTTAAATTTCGCAAATGAATAAATAAGGGTAAAAACATAATTTTAGAGTTTTTTATTTATAAAATAAACGGTCCATCATAGGGAACCCGAAAGGGGCGCCGTAGGGAAGCTAATATCTTCCCTACACGTAACTAACTCCCTTACCCAACTCTGGTTATAATGACCAAAGTTGGTTTTTCTAAACCAAAACCTTCTTTTTCTTCCTTTTCCAATGTTTCTGGATAAAACATTGGTGGTGACTCCAGAACCCTTTTCGAAAACTTTGTCTTTAGGTCCAGCCCGGTTATCGAACAACCTAAAGGCGTTGTAACATCACTTTTAAAACGCGATTCGAAGCAAAACCATCGCGTCGCTTCGACCGCCGTTACGGTAGCGACACTTGGATGAGTGACCTTCATTGGATTGATGTCTTCGTTGACCTTAAAGGGTAATTGTACACAAAACACAAGATTCGTCCATAGAGGCTTAGGATGAGAGAATTCTTCATGGCTGTTAGCGCACATAGAAGCTAACTTGTTCTTTATTTCTTTAAGGTGGAGATGGGCTTGATTGCTCTTTCAGTTTTGTGAGGACAATTATTGGAGAAGTGTCCATTTTTCTTGTAAAGAAAACACCGTTGATCTTGTGCTTTTCCTCTGAATTTATTTTTCTTGAAGAATTTAAATTTCTTCTTCTTCTTGCAGAAAAGTGGCTTTTCCTGCCTCTTTTTCTTGCAGTTGCCTGAACATGGCTTCTTGCATTTGATCTCAAGGTATGACTTTTGACAGACTTTGTTGAACTTGTTTTTCTGAGTCATGATGTCAAAAAAGAACTCATGTTGTCTGTAGAGTTTGTTAACAACTTCAAGGGTCATTTGGTGGATCTGACCCATTGTTAGGGTGGTGAAGTCTTTCTGGACAACCATTGTCATCCTATTTAGTTCTGGTTGAAGCTTGATAGGAAGAGATGCGACATAAGTGTTCTTCATGCTAGGGTCGTTGAGTCCATTGAGGTGATAGAATCTCTTGCTCATTCGCTGGTAATGTTTCTCCAGGTCTTTTGATCTTGACTGAGCAACATCTCATTTCAAAGAATTTTTGCCCGAGTGTCTTGTTGATGATTGAACCATCCCCTATAAATTCTTCATGCAATGCTCCGAGCACTGCTGAGCTTTTCCCCAATTCATAGAATTGGTTTTGCTGAACAACCCCGAGCCGTGACAAAAGTGCATTCCCAAAAAGTCGATTTCTTCTTGGACCAAGTGGATCTTCTTCTCTGATAGCATAATCTCATGTTGATGGACTATTTCGAAAAATTGATCCAATAACTGAAAAGCCACTTTTCCGCAAGAAGAAGAAGAAGAATTTTAAATTCTTCAAGAAAAAGAAATTCAGAGAAAAAACACTCATATTGACGCACTGTTCTTTTGTGGTGGAGGAGAGGGCACACTAGTCCATCATGGAGGATTAGACATACTCCTTCTTTTCATTTCTTCAATTATATTTTCTTTTCAATTTTTCTCTTTTAACTTTCTCCTCTTGGAAATAATATGTAATTGTAAGGATAAATATTTATATTTTAAAATTAATATATATATATATATATATATATATATATATATAATTTTTATGAATGATCTCAATAAAATTAAGACATTTTGGGAATGAGCTACTTGAATAAGGAGAAATTAGTAAAGATTGTTCATATTTATATGAATTTTTTAATCTATATTCAAGACATTATTATTATTATTATTATTATTATTATTATTATTATTATTATTATTATTATTATTATAAACACTAAAATGTTGAAATGGTGAGAACAAATTTAGGGCAACGGTAATAACATTGCCATATATTTGACTTTGTTAAAGGTTAAGCATATATAATTTATTCTTTATATATATATATATATTCGAAATTCTGAATTTGGTTTCTAACATGTAAGAAACTATTAATTTAGTCCTTATATTAGTATTATATTATTTGAAAAGTAATTAAATGTAAGGACAAATTTTAGTGTTTCCAAATGAAATTAATGGCACTAAATTGTACGTTTAGCCTTGAAACTACAAGAAAAAACTGAACGATATTTGTCTTGAAGAGTGGGTTTATTGTAATCAGCACAAAGAATGAAAATGAAAATAATAATGACTTTAACTAAAACGATCACTAAAGAAACAACCATTGAGAAAATAAAACACTCCATTTGATATTTCTTAGTTCATAAACACCTTTTGCAAACCTAATTATTAACCTTTATATGATAAAATAAAAGAAAAATAATACTTTGACAACTCAAATCCATACAACTCCTATACACAATTCTCTTTTAATATTATAATAATAATTTTAATTTATTTTTATTTTTATTAAATCATTCTATAGATTATTATATTAATAAAAATGAGTTATTTGAAACGTTATATAGTTTCAGGTTGTCAAAATATCACCACTCAAAATAAAATACTCAAATCATAAAGAAAAGGGTTTTAGAATAGTATTTTATACAGAGTTTTTAATGTTAATAATGGAAAATATTATGTTTTTAAATGTATTAACTCTTTATAGTGGTATATATAAGAAAATTGTTGTAAACAATTATTTTAAAATATATTTGGTATCATAAAACTGTTGGAAATGCGAACACAAATACTAACAAAACTTTTTTCTAGTACGTGTGTAATAAGGACTTATTCGTGGAGTATTGCATAAGTCTCCAAAATACAACAAAAAACTTTATTTTTGAGACGTGTGTAATAAAGACTTATTAGTGGAGTTTTGCACAAATTTCTAGGATACAATAGAAATTTCTCATATTTTTTTAAGAACTTAAAAACTAACAAAAAAACTCTTAAAAAAATATATAAATTCAGGACAAAAAAATTGAGAGGAAAGAAAAGAGAAGATGAGTAAGGTATGATTTTGGAGGAATGTGGAATGATCTTTTTATAGGTAAAATATGGGTAACATACTCATCTCTCCTTAACAGCCCACTCCATGTAAGAGCCCACACACAATGTTTCAATCCACCTGAACCTGAAATTTAGCAATCACGTTTGTTTAGGACTGAACCAAGATTTGTGTAACACTGAACCTACACGTATGAGGAGGGTGGGTTTTGCAATATCGATGAATAGTTCACTGCATATAATTATTTTATCCAAAATATATAGGATTTACTTATATAATCACATACAACATTGCGCAAATCTCCATGATACAATATAAATTTCTTAGGTTTTTTAAGAACTTAAAAACTAGCAAAAAAAAACTCCTAAAAAAATATATAAATCTAGGACAAGAAAAATGAGAGGAAAGAGAATAGAAGACGAGGGATGTATGATTTTGGAAGAGTGTGGAATAGTTTATTTATAAATAAAATATGAGTAAAAGACCCATCTCCTCGTACCACCCCACTCCATGTAAGAGCTCACACACAATGTTTCAGTCCACCTTTACCTAAAATTCAGCTACCATGTTTGTTTGCGACTGAACCAAGATTTCTGTAACATTGAACCTACACATACGAGGGTGGGTTTTGCAATATCGATGAATAGTTCCCTGCTTATAATTATTTTATCCAAAATATACAGGGTTCACCTATATAATCACACACAACATTTGTTTCATATCTTTTGTCTTCTGGAGTAGAATATGATAAAACAAACAAGGCATATGAAAGACAGGTATAACTTCAATTTATTAATTAAGAATTAATGCACCTGATATGACAGGGGATTCAAATACATGGATGAAACTGAAACTGAAACTGATGCTAATGAATATTGATTTCAAAACCGAAATGGAAACAATAAAGTAAGAAAGAGTGAAAAGATGACTATAAAAAGAAACTAAAATTGGTGATTATGAAATCAAGTTAATCAAATTAAAGGGGAATAAGAAAATGAAGACCTCTTTTGTTGTGTTGGTTCTGCTTGTTCTTTCCGTTGGAATTGGTATGTGTTGAATTGATTTTAGTTTACTTTTCATGATACTAATGGTTTATACTGAATGTTATTATGAATGTGGTGGTGATGCAGAAAATGAAGGAGGACTGAAAGTGGTCGAGGGAAAAGTATGCGAAGTGAAATTGTATGACTTCTGTGATAGTGATATTTGTTTCGTGGATTGCCCCAAGGTCTATGGAAGCGCAGCAAGTGCCCATTGTGGTGCGCAGGGTGACTGCATTTGTGTTTATCCATGCTAACTCTCTTCCATCTTCTTCTCCAACCTCTTTATGTATCAATAATATTCCAAATTTCAAATCAAATACATTTTCTATTTCTTTTCCTAATTCCTTCTCCAGCATCATTATTCTCAATTCCATGGAGTATCATTGTATCTATTTCTGTTTACCACTGTCAAGAGCAGTTGACGGTGACCATATTTGAGAACTTAAGAATTATGATGAAATAAGAAACTCGCATGAATTAAAATCATCATTAGAGATTAAAACTTATATAGAGATCATGAATAACTATTTTAGCTATAAATCGTGAACTTGAGACGGATTATAAAGTTTTGAGATCTAATTATAGGACTAATATTTGGTTGAGAATTTTTAGGATATTGTGTATAGGTGTATTTATGATATACCATATTTGTATATTTTTATTAATGTACTTTATGTATATATAGAGTAAAAATGTTACAAAATATCAAATATCAATAATATCTCAATCATAACTGATTAAATCAAAATAATAATCTAATATCTTTTTATATTCTCTCTTAAAAGATAATAAAATATATTAATACCTAATTTAAATAAAAGATAATAAATTAATATTCCTAACATTCCTCTTTACTTTAATATCTATTTATTTGAATTTGATATTTTTTCTTTTATTTTGTTTATAATTTTTCCTTCTTTTTTGTTTATATTTTTTATCGACTTTTTTACTAAAATAATATTATTGTATTATATATACGTAACATAACATCTTCGAAATTATTTACTTACTGAACTTCTCATTAAATTATTTACTTAATCGAACCTCTTTTCCTGTTGTACTTGAAATTTAGTTTCTCGTAAACCGAATTCCAACTTTAAACTTACCACTTTTTTTTAATAAAAAATTAAATAAAATATATAATTAAAAATAATAAAATTAATATTAAAAATAAAATTTTAATTTTAAAATTTAAATAATATTTATATAAAAAATAATAAAAATAATATATTATTTAAATATATATTAAATTATTTAAATATATTTAAATAATTATTAAAAATATTAAATAATAATTTTTTATTATATTTTTTATATTTTTTTATATATTTTGTTTATTTTTGAATAGGAAATTTAAAATTTATATATTTTTTTATTATATGAATTATTTAAGTTATAATTTTAGAAAAAAATTGATAAATTTAATATATAATATATTAAAAGTAAAATTAAAAATAAGTTATTAGTAGCAAAATAAAAATTATAGAACACGATATTAAAGAAAAATAATAAAGGTAGAAAAATTTTTATAGAGTGAAAATAATAGAGGTTTATGAAGAAGAAAACTCTCCACAAATTTCTCTTTAAATTCACGAACAACCACACCGACCAAATCCAAAACGTAAGAGACGTCGTCCTCGTTGTGGAACTGGATACCACTTTTGAGATTAAAATTTTCTTAATATTATTGTCAATAATTTTATTTTTTAATTTTTATTATCAATTATTATGTTATTTTTAATATTATACATTAAATTCTGTCAATTTTTATTATTTTTTATTTTTAAGTTTATTTTATATTAATAATAATAATTTTTAACTAATTAAATAATATTTTTACTTTATTATTTTAAAAAAATTAATTTTAGCATGAATTTTTTAATATAATATTTATAATTTATCAAATAAAAACTATTACATAAATTTTTATAATATAATATTTAATTTTTTAATATATTACCTAAATTAAATTTTTATTTATTCTATTTTTTTCTAAAATTATAACTTAAATAATTCATATAATAAAAAATATATAAATTTTAAATTTCCTATTCAAAAATAAAAAAATATATAATAAAAAATTATTATTTAATATTTTTAATAATTATTTAAATATATTTAAATAATTTAATATATATTTAAATAATATATTATTTTTATTATTTTTTATATAAATATTATTTAAAATTAAAATTAAAATTTTAATTTTAATATTAATTTTATTATTTTTAATTATATATTTTATTTAATTTTTTTATTTAAAAAAAGTAGTAAGTTTAAAGTTGGAATTCGGTTTACGGCAAACCTAATTCCAAGTACAAAAGTAAAAAAATTCAGTTAAGTAAATAATTTTATGAGAGGTTCAGTTAAGTAAATAATTTGATGAGAAGTTCCATTACGTATATATATAATATAATAATATTATTTTAGTAAAAAAGTGTTTTCTTGTCATCTTCTTTTTTGTGTGGGATCACATCTTCATTCAACTTTATTTTCTTCATCAAAATATTTCTTCCTTTATCAACTTCATCTCTTTTGTTTCTTTCAAACTTCTTTATGGTAGGACCGTTGACTATTTGATGGACGTTGAAAATGGTTTCTTCATCTACATCTTTATTTTCCTCCTTAACATCAATTTCCTTCAAGAAATCTTCTTCATGCTTTTTCTTTGACTTTTCTTTTATATCTTCGTTTGTTATCAACTCTTTTTTCATTAAATGTAAAGTGAAACTTTTTCCTTTCATGAGAAAATTGAATATTTCTATGTTATTTGTATTTTTAATCACACAAAGTTTGTGTTCAAAAGACACCTTATAACTTTTCTCCAATAATTGAGCAACACTTAACAAATTATGATTAATATCAGGAACATATAAAACATCAAAAATTAATTTGATACCCGAATAACTTTTAACTGCAATTGTTCTCGTACGTCTATTTGTTCTCCATTACCTATTCTCACTTTAGAAATATGTGATTCTTTAAACTCTTTGAAAAGTTCTTGATCATGAGTCATGTGATTTGTACAACAACTGTCTATAAGTCAACCTGTGAATTTGTTGTTTGTAGAGCATGTTGATACAAGGAGAAACTCTTCTTCTACTCCATCCTCTATAACTTGAACATACAAGGAGAAACTCTCCTTCTACTCCATCCTCTATAACTTGAACGACTTCCTCTGATTGTGATTTGCATATATTTTCTATATGTCCCAATTGACCACATTTTTGACATTTCACATCAGGCCTCCACCAACACTTATTGGGTGTGTGATTATTTTTCTTGCAATAAGGACAATCAGAAAATATTTGTGATTGTGTACCTTTATTATTCTTGGCTTGGAGAGAACTTCCATCATGATATAGTAAATAACCTTCACTAGCAGCATGATTTCCTCTCATCTTCGTTGCTTTTGCGCTTGTAAAGCATGTAACACTTCTATCAAAGTAATATTAGACAAATCCTTTATATTTTTCAATGAAGCAATAGATGTTTCATATCTCTCTGACACAGTTACTAGAATTTTCTCAATTATTCTGAAATCAGGAAATTCCTTGCCTAACAATTTTATTTTGTTAGCAATATCCAACAATTTGTTTGAATATTCATTAATTGTTTGAAACTCTTGCATCTTTTGTATCTCAAATTCCCTTATCAAGTTTAAAACTTTCATACCTCGAATTTTCTCATCCCCTTCATATTGATTTTTCAAATAATCCCAAATTTCTTTAGGTGACTTTATCGTCATGATTCTGGTGAAGATCATTTGTGAAACACCAGCAAATAAACATGATATAGCTTTTGCCTTCTTCGTTTTTTTTTCTCTGTGAAATTTCATTTGAGTTATGGTGGGATTTTCAAGTAGTGGATCAATAATATAAATCTTCTTCTACAGCTTCCCATACATCCAATCTTTCAAAATAGGATTGCATTCTCACAGTCTATAAGTCATAACTTTCGCCATCGAAAATTGAAATAGCGACTTGGGAAAAGTTTTTTTTCCCCTTTTATTGTATCGAACCAAAACTCTGATACTAATTTGTTAGGAATTTTTAAGGTTTTGTGTATATGTGTATTTCTGATATATCATATGTGTATATTTCTATTCATGTACTCTATGTATATATAGAGTAAAAATATTACAAAATATCAAATATCAATAATATCTCAATCATAACTACTTAAATCAAACTAATAACCTAGTTTTTTTTTTATCTTCTCTATTAAAAGATAATAATATTAAATAAAAAATAATAAAATAATATTCCTAAAATATATTTTTCTGCCAGTGATTTAACTGTGAATGTAAAGTTACAATACCAAAACTATAAAAAACTCCTCAAAACATTTTCCATTTCAGTGATCAATTGTAGAACTCGTTGACTTTTCTCAAATTTTTTAATCTTTGTTGGACCAGTCGATTTCATCATCATCCCACTGAGAAGCCTGTAACAGCTTCATCCCTCAGCGAATGATTTTGTCTGTATAGTACCAACCTATTAGGATTCCGAGTATCATGAAGTAGAGTTGAAGCTCATATTTAACCAGCAAGTCCTAATTTTAAAACCTAAAATTATTTTGTAAATTATCAAGCAAAAGAGTTAATTTTCTATAAACAACTTCCTTTTGAACAGAATTATGCAAGTATATTATTGGCCTAGACAGATCAAAAGGCTCATCGAATGAACCAAATGCAGTAATGAGTTGGAACGAATGAATTGATACCACGCACTCCAGCACTCTACGTGTTCCTTTTCACACTTTCTTGTTATGGTATAGATCGAATATGGTGTCGTACGTCCTTCAGACACGTTGTGATTATTCTTTACTTCATTTCACGAGAAGAGTGAAAAAGGAGGAAGAAAAGAATCAATAAAGTAGCAAAAAAATCTAATATATTATCATTATATATGTGGCTTTGGTAGTCTTCTCCCCACGAGAACAGTTTTGATTTCAAATTTGTTGGAAAAATGTTGGAACTACCATTCAACATGGCACTGCGGTTCCCGAATTTGGATTTGAAGTGTGTGCCCTTTGGCGAGAACCTAAACCCTGAAGTGCTTGGTGGCCTAGTTACTCTTGTTGCTCTTGGCTTTACTGCTGCATATATCAGATATCGCACCAAACACCCCAAAGGTATAAATAACCCTCTTTCTTAGACTTGTTGCATTCATTCTCTTGTTTTGAAATAATCAGAATTCAAGAGTCTCATTATATAGAAATGGACAAAACTACATATCCATTTTGTTTCATCTTCAATCTGCTATCATATTCATTTATATCAAGACTGATAAAAATATTTTTTCAATAACCACACATATCTATGGAACAGTTACCAATTTCATGTTTCTTCTGTTTTTTAAACAGTGGGTTCACCCCACATTGTCTAAAGTTTTTATAATGGGAATGAGATATTATAATGAAAATATATATTTTAAATAGTTAACTGCAAGATCTGCAATAAAGCGATGGGAATTCAAGCACAATAAGATGATAAAGTGCAAGTTTGTAACATCAAGAATAATGAAACAGCACTACAAGAGGAAAATGAGCTAGTCAAAATTAATTAATTAATATAAAGTGAAAGGTATCAGAATTTGAACATGTCATTCACCACTCATCTTTGCAAAAAAATTTTACTGTAAAAAAGGAAAAATTTTCAGGATGCTTGGACCCACAAAATTTCAAAGAATTCAAACTGATAAAGAAGACTCAGCTGAGCCACAATGTTGCAAGATTCAGATTTGCCCTTCCTACTCCTTCTTCTGTATTGGGTCTTCCTGTTGGGAAAAACATACTTGCTAGGTTTGAAAACATTTAACTTTTTGAAAAACATAAAAAAAAAAAGCATACTTTTCTATATTAACTGTTAATTAAGCAGGGGAAGAGATAGCAAAGGAGAGGAAGTTATGAGATCATATACTCCAATCACGTTGGATTCAGATGTTGGCTACTTCGAGTTGGTTGTCAAGGTACAACTTTTGAGGATAATTTTTGCAGAAGGATCAATTAATTTACCTTTTCCATTTCCATATACATTTTTGTGATATTTTAACAGATCGAAGATTTTTTAAAGATAAATAGAATTTAGGATGGTATTTATTGTTCTTCTGTGATAATAATCATATAATATTTGGAAGCAGATGTACCCAAATGGAAAAATGTCCCACCATTTTAGACAAATGAAAGAAGGTGATTATTTGGCTGTGAGGGGCCCCAAGGTATTAATTTAATGTCCTTAATTAGGCAAATAAAAGTTAATTAAAAATATTAATTAATTAAAAATTAAGTGTGGTTGAGAATTGTAGGGACGTTTCACTTACGTAGCTGGGCAAGCTAGGGCATTTGGAATGCTTGCTGGAGGGTCAGGCATAACTCCAATGTTTCAGGTACTCCAGTATTTATTACAAGCTAAAAGCATAATTAAGTTTTGCTAATTCAATATTTATCACTAATTAACTAAATTCTGATCTATGAATATGCATCTTTGTTGCAGCTGATAAGAGCCATTTTAGAAAACCCTAAGGACAAAACAAAGTTGCACCTCATTTATGCCAATGTAACAGTCGACGACATTCTGTTGAAGGTAATGTTCCATTGATGTAATGTTGTATGGCAAAATCTCATGCAATGCCACAAATATTTACTAATCTGAACTAAACGGTGAGTTAAAATGGTGTTGCAGGAAGAACTAGATAAGTTTGCAGAAAATTTTCCAGACAGATTTGAAGTCTATCATGTTCTTAATAAGGTTTGTTTTTTATCTATCCAAACCATCCCCATTAGGATTTAGCTTTTCATTATCATTTTCTCACACAATAAAGTTGAGTTCATGATCATGAATATCTCAGTAGATTAAAATGATTGAAATTTTCCTTACTTGTTAGCCTCCTCCCCAATGGAATGGTGGCATTGGGTATATTACTAAAGAGATGATTCAATCACATTTCCCTGAACCAGCCCAAGATATTCAGGTTCAATCTACTCTACCTACTAACCAATAGCATAAAAATAATAATTTTCTTTATGATCATCTTTATAAAAAATGATTTTTTTATTCTTATTACCTTGTAAAAATAGTTATAGATGAAATTATCTTACTCAATCCTTAACAATGAAATGGTTACATTTTTGCAGATACTTAGATGTGGTCCACCAGCTATGAACAGAGCCATGGCTACTCACCTTGACGCCCTTGGCTACACACAAAGAATGCAGTTCGAGTTCTAAGCTTCAATCTCAAATTCATTTCATTCTATTCTTCTTGCCATTTACTTTTCATATTTGCGTGCGCTAAGCAAATTTCATTTACATGCCAAACAGTCAAATCTGATAAAATGTTCCTCTTCATTGTGACTATCAAGACTATATATAACTTCAGTTTTTCTCACAATCTTTTTTAATGGTTCTAATTATTTTAAACTGTTTTAAAAATATCAAGGAATTTATCTATTTGTCTTTAATCATCAATCCAAATATTCAAAATCAAACACTTGGTATAATAAAAGGATATAATGTAGTGTTGTTCAAAATCAAATATTCATATGAAGTTCTTAATTATGGTCACTGTCAATTGCTCTTGACAGTGGATAAACAGAAATAGATACAATGATGCTCCATGGAATTGAGAATAATGATACTGGAGAAGGAATTAGGAAAAGAAATAGAAAATGTATTTGATTTGAAATTTGGAATATTATTGATACATAAAGAGGTTGGAGAAGAAGATGGAAGAGAGTTAGCATGGATAAACACAAATGCAGTCACCCTGCACACCACAATGAGCACTTGCTGCGCTTTAGACCTTGGGGCAATCCACCAAACAAATATCACTATCACAGAAGTCATACAATTTCACTTCACATACTTTTCCCTCAACCACTTTCAGTCCTCCTTCATTTTCTGTATCACCACCACATTCATAATATCATGAAAAGTAAACAAAAATCAATTCAGCACATACCAATTCCAATGGAAAGAACAAGCAGAACCAACACAGCAAAGGAGGTCTTCATTTTCTTATTCATCTTTAATTTGATTAACATGATTTCAGAATGACCAATTTTAGTTTCTTTCTATAGTCATCTTTTCACTCTTTCTTACTTCATTGTTTCCCTTTTCAAACCACATAACTTTGATATAAAATCTTTTGTCTTATATAAAATACAAACATCTAATTTTGAAACTTAAAGCGAGAGTTATTTTCCTTTAAAGTAAATATTATCTTTTGAGACGATTGTTTAAAGTAAATTTATGGTTATTTAAGCAATATGTTCATTTTATGATGGATTTTGTGGAGGGTATATGTGATTGAGCAATTATTGGTAGATGTATTCTATCACAAAATATCTGTTACTAATTAACACACTTTTTCATGGGATGACAGAATATTTTGAGACTGCAAATTCCTGTTACAAATATCTTTAGAATCATTTAATTTTGAACCCTCAATGGTTTAGATAAACAAAAAAAAAAAGAAAAAAAAAAGAAGAAGAGAAAACACATTTATGTTTTCAACTTTAAAGCCTGATAACTGTATATTTTTCTATCTGCTTTGGGTCAATCACCCATCTTTTTCCAACAATAAAATCCATTTCGAATTGTGATAAATTAGATAAAATTTAATTTAGATTACTGTTGAATATAGAGAAAATAGGATTTGGAATTAATTTCCCTTGTGTATAAATCACACATAGGGTGGCCTATTTATAGTAGAGAGATACAACTAAAAGAGTAACTGAAAGTAACAGAATAAACAGAAGATATTGTTTGATATTGTGGTTACCAATATCTAACAATATCTTAACAATATCAAATAATATCTAAACAATATCTAACATTCCCCCTCAAGCTGGAGCATACAAATCGTATGTGCCAAGCTTGTTACAAATATAATCAATTCTAGGACCCCGTAAAGATTTAATAAAAATATCTGCTAACTGATCACTTGAGTTAACAAACTCAGTCTTGATATCTCCAGACATAATCTTTTCTTGAATAAAATGACAGTCAATCTCAATGTGTTTGGTCCTCTCATGAAAGACAGGATTAGAATTAATATGAAGAGCAGCCTGATTGTCACACACAAGTGTCATTTGAGTGACATCTCCAAATTGTAACTCTCTAAACAATTGCTTGAGCCAAACAAGTTCACAGGAAGCCGAGGCCATAGCTCTATATCCTGCTTCTGCACTGGATCTTGCCACAACACTTTGTTTCTTACTTTTTCATGAAATCAAGTTACCATCAATGGAGACACAATATCCAGATGTAGATCTTCTATCCGAAGGAGATCCTGCCCAATCAACATCTGAGTAGCAAACAACTCTTGTATGGTTATTAGAACCATATAACAATCCTTTTCCAGGAGATCCTTTAATATACTTCAAGATACGAATGACCGCATTCCAATGATCTTCACATGGTGAATTAAGAAATTGACTTACCACACCGATCGCAAAGGAAATGTCGGGACGAGTAACCGTAAGATAATTCAATTTTCCAACCAATCTTCTATACTCGCTCAGGATCGAATATAGGCTCCCCCGATTTGGTAGAAGTTTAGTATTGGGATCCATGGGTGTATCAACAGACTTTGAACTCATCAATCCAGTTTCCTCCAAAATATCTATGGCATACTTCCTCTGAGATATAACAATACCATCATTGGACTGTGCTACCTCAATACCCAAGAAATATCTAAGTTTGCCAAGATCTTTGGTCTGAAAATGGTGACAGAGATGTTATTTCAACTGAAAGATGTCATGGTTGTCACTACCTGTAAGAACAATGTCATCAACATATACTATCAAGTAAACACATCCAGCACTCGAGTGTCGATAAAAGACAAAATGATCTGATTCACACCGAGTCATACCAAATTGTTGAACAACCTTGCTAAACTTTCCAAACCAAGCCCTAGGAGACTGTTTTAGGCCATATAGGGATTTGCGAAGACGACATACCATCCCAGAAGACTCCCCCTGAGCAATAAACCCAGGAGGTTGCTCCATATATATTTCTTCTTGCAAATCACCATTGAGGAAAGCATTTTTAACATCCAGTTGATAAAGAGGTCATTGTTGAAGAGCAGCCATGGCGATAAATAAACGAACAGAAGTCATCTTTGCCACAGGGGAAAAGGTATCTCCATAATCCAACCCAAAAATTTGAGTATATCCTTTGGCCACAAGACGAGCTTTGAGGCGATCAATAGTACCATCAGGTCCAACTTTGATAGCAAATACCCACCTGCAACCAACAACAGATTTCCCAGACGGTAACGGGACCAATTCCCAAGTTCCACTATTATGAAGAGCACTTAGTTCATCTAACATGGCCTGACGCCAACCAAGATGAGCTAAAGCTTCACGGACAGTTTTTGGAATGGTCACAGAAGAAATAGAGGAAAGACATGTATAAAAAGGTAATGACAATCGATGATAATTCAAAGCAATATAATGGGGAGAGGGATTACGTGTAGAACGAATACCTTTTCGGAGGGCAATGGGAAGGTCAGACTCATGTGTCAGATCCGGAGGAAACAGAGTAGTTGGAACTTGAGTAGAGTCACATGGTGGTGGTTGTGATTGGTTTCGAGAACTATAAATCTGAAGAGGCAGTGGAGAAGAAGCTAACTGCGGAGCAGGAACTAATGGTGAAGAAGACACAGTTAGAGGGTCACAAACAACAGGAACATTAAATGTATTAGGAGTGTTGACAAGATTAGATGGAGACAGAGGTGAAGTTTGACTTTTAAAATAAAGAGACAACTCATCAAAGGTGACATCTTTTGACACAAAATAATGGTTAAGAGAAGGAGAAAAACATTTGTATCCTTTTTGTGATCTTGTAAACCCTAAGAAAACACATTTATGTGATCTAGGAGAAAGCTTGTCCAGACCAGAACTAAAATTATGAATAAAACATGTAGACCCAAAAACTTTCAGAGGTAAAGGATGAAGTGGTTCATGTAGACTCCATAACTGTACTAACATGTGTAGAGGGACGGAGATAATAAAGACCATGAGACTCACATCCTGTGTCAATCACCTGTTTCGAACTCCGGTCCTGTAAACACACAGAATTGTTGGTAAAAGTAACAACACAATCAAGAGAACGAGTTAGACGACTGATGGACAACAGGTTAAAAGGAGACCCAGGGACATAAAGAACATTATCAATGGTTAAAGAAGGAAAAAGTTTAACCGTTCCAACACCATGAGATGATACTCTAGAGCCATCAACCAGTGTAACAGAAGGTAAATGATTAGGAGAGGATAAAGAGGAGAACAAAGATTTGTTACCAGTAATATGATCAGTGGCTCCTGAATAAAAAACCCAAGGACCAGGAGAAAATGATTGGGTCAGACCAGCAAAATATGTATTTGTATGTGTGACAGATATAGTGGAACTAGAAGACTGTTGATCCTTATACTATTCGAGAAATTTGTTGAACATAGAAGATATGTCGGATGCAACAGAAGAAGGAAGATCCCCTGCAGATAAAGGTGGGGAAAGATTGGTTTGAACAACTATAGCAGACTGAGGAGGACGACCATGTAATGTATAACACTTGTTAATCTTGTGACCTAGCTTGCCACAATGTTCACACTTAGGACGCCCTTTTTCCTGTTTGCGAGGGCGAGCCCGGTCATCACGATGGGATGTCAACACAAAAGAATCGTTAACAAAATTGGAAATAGTGGAAGAAGTCATGAAGAGCGGGAGAACAAACCCAGCAGCGGTGGGGCGGCTCTAGCAGCGGTGGGGCGGCTCCAACAGTGGACAAAAGGCGGAAAAAAAAATTCAAGATAACCTTAAGCTCTGATACCATGTTGAATATAGAGAAAATAGGGTTTGGAATTAATTTCCCTTGTGTATAAATCACACATAGGGTGGTCTATTTATAGTAGAGAGATACAACTAAAAGAGTAACTGAAAGTAACAAAATAAACAGAAGATATTGTTTGATATTGTGGTTACCAATATCTAACAATATCTTAACAATATCAAATAATATCTAAACAATATCTAACATTACAATTGATCAAAATGCGCTTGACTTCTCTATTGCTTTTATGATGGTAAGTGTATTTGTGAAATTTCTTGTGTAAAATTGAAAAGTTATTATTCTTTTGACAATGTGATTCATTTTCTCTTAACATGTTCAACCTGACTTATTCTACATCTTTTCTTTTGGTTTATATTTTTTTTTTCTTTATTTCCTTTTTGTTAGACATTATATTACATATTGTTCATAACTTGAAGCTTAAACGTGTTTTTATTTTTCATAAATCCATAACTCAAAGCTTAAACAAGTTATTTTCACTTTATTTTAGTAAATAAGAGAATTCAATCCAATAAGTATAACCTTATAATACTATTGAACTTATGGATGGCTTCCGTAACCTATACAGTTCAGTAAACTGTTTTACGAGCAGTATGTAACTAAAAAGGGAATAATGATGACATGGGGGAGGGGGTGGAAGTAACATGTGGACAATGATGGAAAGTTAGTCATGGAGAATGGCCACCTGGATAGTGATATGAAAATAATGAATATAAAGAGAAGCACGAGAAATAGAATAGACAATGTTTTTTATTATGTTTGGTATATTTTCAATTAAATAGCGTTATATTGGTGTTTTTATGGATGTTATGGCTGAGAATACACGTTTGAAGGATTTTCAACCTAAAGTATGAAATCAAACTAAAGATATTAAGAAGTTGATGATCTCTTAGAACTTCGTAACAAAAAACAACGAACTCATACACAATACGTACAAATTGAGGCTGAGAGGTGTATGAATTATATTCAACAATCCTTAAAATTGTTATTCAAATCAAATTCTCAATTCCAGGGTGGCTCATCGGGGAACGACTCCATGAGTGATAAAATGCCATTAAAAAGTGATTTTTATGTTAAGGACA